GAGAAGAGAAGCAAAAACTCGCAACATAGGGAACCGGAAGAACATGAAATAAAATACAATCCCACAGGAACCACAAAACAACAAGAGACACAACCAAAACAAACTTCAAGACAATAACAACAACTATGTATAACAATGCCATAATAATGCTGCAATGTAATAACGGCGTTGATGGCAGCACGTAAATTTAGCCACAGCTACTTCGTTTAAAAACGTTGTTAAATGAAAATTTGCAATAAAGAGAATGAACTCAACATAACGCAATGTCTTCTTAGATTCTCATTCCTTCTTGTACAGAGGAAACGCGAGCGGTTTTTCCTTCGCCCGTTACATGCGTACGTAAAAGCATATACGTTAGAAAAAGGGAAAGGAGGTAATCAGCCATGTACGTACGTACGTACGTTAAGGTGACCATAATATTCTTTTAAAGGGAATATGCGTAAATGTTTACAATAAGTTTCGCCTTCTCAACGCAATGAAGAAGATCATCATACACTTTTGATAATTTTGATACTTTTCCTTCCTTTTTAACCGCGCGGTCTATTTCTCTTATACACAATACATATTTTCTCGTTGCAATTTAAAACAAACCGGCGGAGTAGCATGTCTGGTCAGCTTATATACATTTCCATTTATATTGTGTTGAAATCTTTTTTCTCGTACTTATGTCATTTTGGTAAAATAAACACATTATAAAAATTTCATTTACACTTTATCACACACTACACGAAAGTACTACTACTTTAGTTTTCCACGAAAAGGCATTAAGACGAGGAGAATTTATTTTCAACTTAAACCGCCAAATTTGAGGCATAAACTTGAATTCTAACAAAGGCAAAACCGCCATTGATAACCCACAGAAAATGACCTATTAGAAACTTTGTCCACACATAAGTAGCCCAAACATAATAATACATTCACTATATAGATATTCACGAATTTTATTATTTCACTCATTATCTCATATAATTTCACTTTGGTCCATAAGAGACAAAAGAGGCAAAAGCATAATAAAGCATTAACAGAAAAGGAAGCTCTCAAGACGATTAATATCTAAGAAGCATACTTGCAGTGGATATTGAAAATGACGTGTATCTCCTTAATTCCAAAACGGATATAGTTTTGTTAGTTAACACTAGAACTATCGTGTACTGCATTTTAATCCTTTTTAATTTTTGAGTTCCAAAAAAACCGGTTATAAAGCATCTAATATTCCAAAATATTTTGTTTACATTTATTTATATGAAAATACCTTTAAACGCTTATAATCAATTTTTTCCTATATACTCTAGTTTTCCAGATGTCGATGACATATACCTATTTCTGCCCAAAGGGATCATTTCGATATCCTAGTTTTGCCGACTTGACTCAGCCCTAAGAAGAAGGTAGGAACCTCAAATTCGGCATAGACATTTCTTGATCGGTCAAGAATGTGAGGTTAAAAGTTGGACGTTATATATTTATGTACATATCCGGAATAGGGAGGCAACCGAAAGAACCTCGGAAAAAGGTTGTGAGGTTAATTCTGAAAACTTGCGGTCGAAATGTTCGTCAGTTCCACGTGCCGCCCGAAAATACTCTTAACTGGCTTACTAAGACGGTCACAATTTGCGATGAAATTTTGAATCCAATTTTTTTCTAATCCATTTCCCATTTATTCTAACACGCAACTGTATTTCTTCCATTTAACTGCAAATAGATTAAAAATGAATTGAAAGTAAATTGCAATTAAAATTTTATTAATTTTGCTGTGGGCGTGTTAGTACGCCGATCAAGACCATTTCTAGAACAAATATAAAGTTGAACTTAACGAACATTTAAACAGTTTTCCGAGATATCTTTAAAGAATCGAAAGTTATAGACGCAAATATCAAAAAAAATTATTGTTCTTTTTCAAGGTTGTTTCAGTTTCTCTTGTATGGTGGACATCTATGTAGGCCAAGCTCTTTTCATTTTCCTAACATTGGATTCTTTTTAATCGCTCAAGCAAAATGTGTGTCAGATTGCAGCCTCCTACCGTCTTTTTTAAGACTGTGCTAAGTCGACAAAAATAGGGGATCAAAATGACTTCTTTCAGTAGAAATAGGCACATTCAAATCGTCGGTAGTTCTAGTGTTAATGCCATTTTGTGTACACTAATAACACATCATTATTTTTTTAACTTGTGTAGAAAAACCAAAAAAATTAAGATGAAGAAGCCGACCAATTCGACTCTTGCGTCTAAGGTAATTTCACTAGGTGTCGACAGCTGTTGCGCTCGATTTAGGTTGTGTTTCCTAAGAAATTGTTCGACAAGAGTTGAAATGAAACGAATTTCCTTTAAATGCAATAGTACCAAAAGATTCTGTTCTTAATCCTTCTCTCTTCTTGAGAAACTAAACTCTCTCTCCACTCTAATGTCATGGGACGCTAGAGTTTGTCAGAAGTTCTTACTACACTTGAACATCGGTCTAACATGAGCTCTTGTGTTATGTATAGATATACCCAAGGCGAGACGAGATGTGTGCACCAATCAAATCGCTAACAGATGTACTCGGGTTTCTCAACGTTCCCGCACACTCGTTCTTGTCCACACCATTTACATTCCTTTAGAATAGCCTGTCGGTAGTGGTCGTTCCCACGATTCCAAACTGTACACAAATGCTGCTCCTTTCTACTCCATTCCTCTACCTGCAATCCTCCCAGACCACCAACACCTACATGTGAATTGTTGGCAAATTTGTCGCTTACTCTCTCTTTTCAACAGCTCTCCGTATAACGCCTTATTTGATAAATCTTTAGAAGCAAAAATATTGTAATTTTCAGAATTTCGCACGAAAAAATCGCTTAGTAGTACCACTTCGGAATTCCAAATTGATGTGAAAACCTTAGATAGGATCGGACAATTTTTGGAATTCCTTGCCATATAAAAACTCCTACCGGAGCGAAATCTTTATATGTAAAATGTCCGCATTTTCAATACTTCTTGATGAGAATTCGTTCATAATAACAATTAGATATAAAAAGTAACGTTACCAAATTTGACCTATTTTTTGTTGAATGTCAATCCAATCCCAAGGATTCTAATGAAAAATAAGTCTTCATAAAATCCAAAGGTCCAATTTTTAATATTCTTTGATGAGAATTATTAGCCTGTTAAATAATCGTATTGGACCACATAGTACTACTTTTTAAATCGAATCATATATAAGAGCTTTCCTGAAAGCAAACCCTCCTATGACGACAAAGTCTATTTTGCGATTCGTTACGGCACAAGCTAATGCAAAAAATAAAACCTTTGAGAAGTAAATTAAGTTTGCCAAATTTAGACCACCAATTTTGGCCACTTTGGCCACGTTGAGTATCCTCCAATAAGAAAGCTCTTATGAAAATTATGCATTTTTAATATGTATAATTTTTGGTGCGTTATTAGTTACACATAATTTACTTTAAAAATTTGTTTTTGTAACATATTTTTATTAGTCTAGGGGAAGGTGTTTTTTATTACAGTAGAATGAATAAATAAATAATTAAGCAAAGTTGTGTAGGGAATCTAATGGACGAGCCTATCCGATAGCATACTTTAGTTTTTAATGTTTTTTACTAAACTTTCAAGTTTATTTTAATTATTCCCTTGTCCACGAACACATTTATTTTTCTAATTATTTATAAATGCTTTCATTCTTTTAGTAAAATTAAGTCTACAAACACACACACGCAACATAATAAAATTTCTAAAGCTTTGTACTTTCTTTTCGCTACTTATCGCATATTTTATAAATTTAAATATATATATACATATATATATATATATATATATATATATGAGTTGCTTTTCAAGACCAATGTATAGTAGCACTGCAAATAACAGTATTCTTATTCATTCAATTTGCAAGAACTGGCAGCACTTTAACGGCGGATAGGCTGAGAGAAAAAAATTACTTGAGCGTAAAGTAAAAAAAAAGGCTTATGTTGAAAAAAAAGTAGTTTACTTTTATATATTCTAGATGCGCAACCATGTAAAAATTCACACTCCGTTATACTTAAGATCTATTGGTTTGAGCTATTTCAACTACTTCTGAATTTAATTGAAATATTTTTTTGAAAAGAAATATTTAAAATAGAGTTTCTACGCTGATTTAGCTCGAGTTTGCAATATGAGAACGATGAGAGTATCATTTTTTTCTTACGAATTCCGGATTTATTTTCATTTTAAATAATTTTCTTATCACTGAATCTCAATCTAACACTAGAGAAAATATTTGACGTCAATTTTATCCTTCAAGGCAGAGTTTGGAGTGCGGAATCGTACTCACCTAAATGGACAAACAAACCGACGAACATAATCACATGGTTGCAAGCTATTCAAACTAGATAGGTTTATAAAGCATGTTGCAATAATAATTTAGTCCACAGGAAATGAAGGCAGTGTACTATATACATGTTCGTACAATGATGTTAATAAGAATTTGCCAGTGGTATTTGCCTGCATTATATATTATTCACTTAAAGCAGGAGAATTTTTTAACTGTTTTTTTTTTAATTAAAAAAAATATTTTTAGCAGAATAGAATACTGAAAAAACACACAGGGGCTCGTTTTAGACGTACCATTTACATAAAAAATGCGAATTTTCAGATATTTTGAACTTGAAGAATATGAAAAGCAAAAATTGAAATTTGTACAGCGAAAGAAATAAAGGAAAACAATATCGCAGCAGCGGCTCGGTAAAATCGAAATTTTATTTATCAAAAACAAAGTCTGCAAGTCATAGACTATTAACACCAATCATGTTCACCCCATTTTCTACAATCAAGATAAGAAAATTATAAAGAGCTAACCTTCAATTTTTTGTTGCGTAGGGCGTACGAAATGCTTGCAATATACACTTTTGGAACAAAGTTGTTCTGTTCTTTGATATTATTTTATTAGTGATGTTTTTTTTGATTATTCTTTTTTATTATCTAGTCAATGCATTGCATTGATATTTTATATATGAAGACTAAAAATAAGAATTTCGTCTTAACTTATTTTATTGCGTAAATAAAACTTCACTAGTTGTATGCAGACTTCAGCATCCTCGGCTGAATCGTGACCAGACTCTGTACGAGGTAAACAAAGAAAGAAAAATACAGACCCGTTAATGTTGTATAGGGCAAAATTGAATCTCGATTAAAAATAGAAATGTACCATTTTCTTGGATGATGCGTTTTAAATTTTCTATGCAAAGTGTTTTTAAGGCTCGTTTTTTCGGTGGTCCCATTTTATGAGGAAATAATACGGATGTATCAACCACAACACTGTGAATTAATTTTAAAGCCTTTAAATCGCTCTCCAAGCTATGACCTATTAAAATGGTATTTGAATGAAACATTGACATCAATATAGCTTGAACATCACGCAAATTGCGAGTGACATTGGCCAGCATCTGTTCAGTAATGCCCGAATAACTGAAATTAAAGAGTAAACTTGCTTGGCGATAGAGTTCAAAGAAGTGATCGGCATTTACATCGTGTTATAGTCCACAATTTTATTGTCTGGCTTGACAAGAGCATTATAAACTATACGACTGTTGACATCAACCACAGTGACTCTGGTCAACTCTATACCCCTTGTGGTATAGCACATTTCGCAATCTAAAGCGTATATATCCTTTTTAGTAAGAACATATTCGGATCCGTCAGATTTATTAGATTTATCAATGGTGGTCACATAGCCAGTTAAATTTTCGACTTCGTCATAGTCAGTAATAACGTGATAGTTGCCATAAGTACATCCAGGCGTGCCGGCTGGTTGTTGACAGCACCGATGATGGTTGTCAGCGAATCCTGGAAGATGCAGAAAATGTTTTAAGAGCAGTATTTGAAGAATTTGAAAAAAAAGACTTGCCCCTTTTATAGCCTGTACTCTTAGGATGGTAATTACATTCATCCACACAGATTTGATCATACATTGATAAATTGAATACCTTGCCACAACGACTGCAATAACGTTCCGTATCGTTAGGCTTTCTCGTTGGCTTTGTGTTCTGTATAATCGCTGTACCTGGACGTTTGCCTGCTCGTGGAAAACCATTCGACACTAAAAGTTCTTCTGTTAAATGCAATTCAAATACCATCTGGTAGGCCTTTTCACTGCACAATTTATCAAATGGTTCGCTACCCGTTGCCGCGTCGGTTTTCCTGTATTGTTGAAATAGACAAAACATTATTTGATTTAATAGATGATCGTTTAAAGCGATCTCAATTATTTTATGTTTTGTATTCATAGCGAATTTTGACAGAACATTCAGATGGCGGAAATTTTTTAAATCACTCAAGCAATTATCCAGGAGGGACTATCAATTGCTTAGCTGTTTCTCTTGTAACAAGGTTTATACTTATTTATTAACAAATTGAAAAAATGTGAAATAGAAAATATACAAGCATATGAAATGACTTTGCTAAAAGATAAATTTCAATTCAATGACAAAAAAGAAGAAGAAAAAGAATTTTTAATAAACTCTTGAAATTATTTATTTTCTCTTAAAAAAGACTTTTTCCCTTGAAGTTTTTCATTGTTTTTCCATTGTTGATTGTGGTTTTGTTCGGAATTCTTCTTTCATTTGCTCGCTACATAACAACAAAACTTTCTAAGAAACAATAAGGGAGACTCGCGTCAGAACTAGTGAAAGAAACATACAAAATATATTAATATTAATAAACTATTTCTAAACAAGAAAGGAAAGTAAATAAAATATATGCGTATAAACAAATAGAAGCAGAAAGAAAATTAAGTAAAGACCTTAGTACACCTTCAATACGCACATATTAGATGATTGCGATTTATAATGTCTTTACGGAAATTAATTTTTAAATTTAAATAATTGTAATTTTGTTTACAGACCTCTAAACGAATCAAACGGCAACAGCAAGAAATGCATTACTGCTTCTTATGTTTTCTTTGAGGTCTGCTCTTTTAAAAGCGTGTGGGAGGCTTTAACTATAAACGGAAAAATGCGCCCTAAGCGATAACAATGCATAACTATTCTTTAATAAAACCGAACAAAATGCTTCCGTAAAATGTTTCAGCAAATATTTAATTACTTCACACAGGCTATGTAAAAAGAATATAAAATCCAAGAAAAAAAGTTAAAAATTAACATATTGAAGTTTGTTTGGGTTACTAAAAACATGTTGCTCCCAGGGCGACAATATTATGTTTTTAAGTAGCAAACATTATAAAAAAAAGATTCACTTACATTTTCTTTTGTACACTCCATGACATATTGTTGGCCAGTTTACCAGCTAATACGGCTTCATGTGATATTATATTAAAACCTTGTGAAGATTTATTGCCAACGTCTGCAATATAAAAACATGCATAAATGCGATATTGTGAACTTAAATAAATAGTTACCCGCAGCTTCTTTTCTTAATTTGTTAATTGTTAACATGGCGCTACTTTTATAAATAACGGGAGTATTACATTTTTTAAAAACAGCTAATTCTTCGGCTTGAGCCTGCAAGGCATATATTACATTGTTAATGTTGATTTAATATGATGGCAAAAGCCTTACTTACTCTTTCCCAAGCGTCAACCGAATTGGGATAAATGGCTAAAGAGTGCTTAACCATCATCTCATAATACTGCATTCGAATATTAAAGGAAATTTTTGTGGAATTGGCTTCTAACACAGGAGGTTTTGATTGCTTTTCCTTAAATACAAGAACACAAAATTTACAAACGTATATATACGTACGTATCTGTGCATAAATTCATCGCAATAAAAAAAAAATCTTACTGGTTCTACTCGCGTAGTTTTAACAGTGGCTTTATGCGCAACTCTACTGCCCGCCTTGCTAGTCTGAGCAGGAGTGAACGCGAACTTTTTCTCCGCTTTTAATTCTTCAACTTTTTTTTTTGCTCTTTGTAAGGCTAACATATTAGACACCGGTGCGATTAAACGCGCTTTAAAATTGAAATGAATTATATTAAAAAGATGTTGCATACAAGTAATTTTCTTTAGGTACGTACTAGTGGATTTGGTTACCGGTGTTAAATAACTTGTTGGTATCAACGGCGTAAGTGTTTTTTCCCGTGCTTTGCGTAAGGCTTCATTCGCTTCTTTAACTCTTTCTTCCGCTTCTCTTAAAGCAATTTTTTGGGCGATAGCTTCTTCTTCTTGTTCTCGTCTTACAGCATTCTGTCTATTAAAAACGGACTAAAAATTATAAATGCATCAATTTATATGGAATTTGTTAAAAAAAAAAATCACACCACACATCATGAACATGAACTCACATGTATAGCATTTTTACGATGATCCGGTTTTAAGACCGTAGAAGGTGTTGCATGACTCTTCTGTTTGTCAGCATTTTCATACGCCACACGCTTTTTTTGTGGCGCAGCCGAATATTGTTCTTCTTCTTGAGCAACTTTACGTTTTGGTCCTACATTAGTGTCACGTTCAAGCTCGGGCTCCTTTTTGGTTTCGCTCTGCAGGGTAGCAAACTCTTGCTCTAATTGATCAAAGATCATTTCACACTCTTTTCTAATTTCCTCATCAGAAGTAGCAAATAAAGCAGTTGTATCAGATTCAGGATCGGGTCTATCTTGTATTAATTTAGAGGATATGGATGCACTTTTATCTTTACTTATGTTTGACGAAATGGAAATTTTACTTTCCTTAGACGTCGTTGGAGAAGCATCTGACAAATGATCTTTTCCATGGGATAATGGTTTTGTAGATGAATTTTTACAATTTTTTTCATGGCATTCACTGCTTCTCCTGGAAGATTTATGCCTTGAAGAGGATGACTTTAAAGAGGATGGCTTATTTTCACATTTTTCCTTTCTCAACCTATCTCTATCGCTTCGCTTGGAACTCCCTTTTTCTCGTTTAACATCTCGCTTATGTTCTTTACTATCTGCTGCCACTACTTCCTGGCATTTTGAAGATTTATGATGTTTATGCCGTTTACTTTGTGAATTAGATGACGATCTCTTCTCTCGCTTTTCACTATGATTACTGCGTTCTTGCGAAACCTGATTTTCATTTTTCTCGTTTTCATTTTGCGACTTTTGCTTAATACTGTTTTTAGAACTATCACCCGTAGTGTTGTTTTCTATGAAATCCTTAGCAGTTGTTTCATTCTGATTATCCAATATATTACTCAGTTCATCCAATTCTTCAGCATAATCCTTCAAATCTAAGCCTTCACTGCCCTGACTATTGTCATTAAGCGTCTCCTCACCTATCGATAAAGTAGGCGCAGGGATATAAATGGGTGCCTTATCAAGTGAGCATCGCTTTTTAGAAGGTGATGCATTAAATCCAGGTTTTTCCGGTTGATATTCCAATTTAGTCTTCCTTTTTACATCTATAGGCAAATTTAGCTCCTGTAACGTTAGTAGCTTTGGAGTAGGTTTATATTCAGGCACAGCAGTTGCACCGCTAGTAGATTTTTCTATTTCATCTGCATTTAGTAATAATGCGAAGATAACAATAGCAAGAATAAATTCGTCCCAATTTACCGTAAATTATTGAAAATACTTTTTACCTTTTTTGATGTGCTTAAAGTGGCAATAAGGACGTTGACATGTATTAGTCGATGTCTCAATGTTACTTTGAGTGCTCTTTCCGTCCTCATTATCATCTGTGTTTCCACCGTAATAAGGGCAAATATAACTTTTAAATAATCCTGTCGAGGGTAACATTGCCCTCTTTTATGTTCGACTAAAAATCTATTAAAATCCTTTTCATTGAATCCAAACACAAACACTATTTTGTAGACGAAATGCACGCTTTTATTAGAACAATTTCTGTAATTATCAATGGAAGATGAAAAATGAATAGTAAGAGAAGAAGAAGAAGCCAAATAATTGAAAAGGAAAATAACAACTCAATCTATTAACTGAAATAACAATAGTTGTTCAATTTCACTCACCCATGTGATCTCAGTATGATAATGAACTTAACTATTCCTTCATTCAGCGTTTAAATATATGCAATAAGGTTATTCCGCTCAGAAACCAGAACTATGCATAACTTCGAAACATTTAGACTCGTGGTTAATTGCAATCAAAAATTTATACATGAATAAGGTGTAATGTTTAATTAACTTGGAGTGATATCGTCAACGAAGACGTACCTAAATGCTACATCCATTAATTTCCCTATTCAAACTATATTGAGGCAATGTCTTAAGTCATCGACATCATTCAAAATTAAAGGTTTATGGCAAATAATGTCCATATTTACTCGGTACGATATGAAAAAAAGAATTAATCTCTATTAATTTATTAATTTTTTTATGTGCTGATTCATTGCAAAATTCTCAGTCGTGCTAAATGAAATAACCTGTTGTCAACACTGATCATTTTAGGTCAATATAGTCCCTTAATTTGCTCAAAGCAAGTTTTGTAGATTTAATCAGCTTTCTCATCAGTTAATGATCACTTCATTTCGTTTGTGTTCAATTGATTAATTATTAACGTAACGTAACTAATCATCAGCAAACTTAAAGTCATACTAATTCATAATTTGAGATTGTATAAACATTTTAGTAAATTAAACAGTATATGTATGTGTGAGTATATAAATTTCAAACAAATTTTTGCTTATGACTAATTGTGCATTTATTATATTATTATTCTTTTTTTTTTTTTTGTCAAAGTACATATGTATATGAAATTGATTTCGTCGAATCCATACATGGAGGTGCAAAGATCGGTTTTGTCTTGTTTGTTTATTATTTACCCGTTTCAGAACAAAAATATACAATATACCTGAATTGTCCATTCTTTTTAATAGAAAGAATTTTCTCTAAAAATCTTAAGGATGCCTTTCCAAATAAATAAGAGAAGTATAGAATATTTATTTTCAGTAAAAGAAATGTTTATTCTAAAGAGGAAATTTTTAAGAGACAAAAACTTTGTTTATAAGTTCGTCAAGGAATGCATCGAATGTTTTTTAATGGCAAAAAAAAAAAAAACTACCAAACGAATAGATCCACAGTACATATCAAATTTTATTTACATTGAAGGCTCAATAAAAATGGTCAGCGTAGAAATGTAAACATTATGTAAATTTCTGTAAATTACTTCATTAATTTAAAGTTCACACTTGACGTTTACGAAAGCGAAAGTAATTTTAACACATTTTCTAAGCATAAGCGTAGGTAACGCTCCAACGATTGAGATATGACGATAATGGTCGACTTCAATATCAACCTAAATTATTTTCTTTCATCAAATATAACAAAATCTTGAAGTTACCATAAGGTCATCTGCTTGATTTTAATTATATTAAGCACATCATAATGAATCAAAACTGTTTTTTTCTTAGATTGTAATATATTTGAACAAGAACATGTTGAAGAAAATTTAATTTTGTGGCACCCAAGAGCGGTTGATGTTTACATTTGAGAGAGATACATATCACAACTATTTTTCGATAAAATCAATCAAGCAAATATCTTTCCAGTTGTAAGATATCTTCAACTTCGCAGGACAATGGTTGCGTAACCCCAATTGGTAACTTCTCAATTGGTGAATAATAGGTTAGCGTTATCAGATCATTCTCTTGGCATATTTTGTGACAAATCATTTCACTAATCAATTTGTTGTAAAATTTGTAACATGCTTGTCCGTGATGTTCAATATTCATTGCAGGTCACACTATTGATTCTTGTGCGATATTATTGTGCTTTCAAAGCCTTAAAGTGTACTTTAGATAATATATTTCACTTAGTTCATTCGATACTCGCCTTTCTTTAGCACGGTCTTGTTTAGTATACGTTGCATTTTGGGTTGGTAGCAAAGTTTGAAAAAATGAGAATTTTAATTAACATAAAATACTATAAGTAATAAAAGCAAGCGTTTTCCTACGCCTAGGCTTAGACAATAATTGCAAAGGATTTACTTACCCTTAAATAATAAGAACCAGAAAATATTCACCATTGTTATAGTGCATGTTGTAATTGACTTTAGGTGAAATGTTATATTAATTCCAGTTAATACATATAAAAATAAATATATAATTACCATTAATGACGAAAATTGAAAGCGACTTCCTTGAAAATATAAAGAATCGATTTAAAGATTGACTTTGCATTAAATTGAATTTATTGCAAGCTAGTGCGTGAAAGAACACATTCGTTTAAATGGAGAGGTCGATTTCTTGTTGCTAGTTTGATTTCCCAGATCATTCGCCTTTTCTTTTTTTTTTGATAACAAATCACCCCGGATATATGTATAGTTTATATATGTAGACATATAATATAAAAATAAAAAAAAAAATAGATTAAAGAATTTCATATTGAAAAGGTTTGACACCAAAATTTTACATACGACAAATTATGCATATTTCTATTCTAGCTATGGACCGGGCTAGTATATATTTTTTAGATAAAAATGAACAAAATACTTATAAATTTGATGAAGAGTTACCACCACTTCCCTTACCGGAATTGCATGAGACTATGCAACGGTATTATGAAACTCTAAAACCTTTTGGAACCGAGCAAGAGTTGGCCAATTCGAAAAAGATCATTGAAAAGTTTGAGAAAGAGATAGGCGCAACACTGCACGCCAAACTACAAGAAAGATCTTCGAAAATGAAAAACTGGCTCGAAGAATGGTGGGAAAAGTATGCTTATCACACTTCGAGAATTTCCTTATATCCTTACACGGTAATGGCAATGCCCGCCAAATTAGAATGCGTAAACGTACAAGAAACACCCGAATATGCCTTAAAGGTGAGCTTAATTTCCATTTCGCCTAAGTCAATCATAATTATTTGTCTTGAAAGAATTTAGCTCGCATGATGTACCATACGATAGAGTTTTGGGATTTATTACGTAAAGGTGCCATCAAACCATTATCTTCCGACAATGGTAAAATTAAATATTCGTCAAATTTATATAAACGATTTTTCTCTACCACAAGAGTGCCAGGGACGCACGTTGATCGTATAGAAAAACACTTCAAAACAGGTAAATGGTCTCGTGGGAACGTGTTGTCACTAAAAGCATTTAGCCTGAAAACTAATAACAATTTTATAAATGCTCTAGTTGACGAGGGTAAAACCCCCTGCCATGGGTTAATTTCTGGCAAAGGTCGTTTATTTATATTCAAGACCCTCCGTGAGAATGGTGAAATGATAACGCCTCAAGAATTGTTAGTTCTCCTTCAAAGGTTAAGAACTATTTTGGATTACGAATCTGTCGGAGACGGTATTGCTGTTTTAACTCATGACGATCGTAGCCTTTGGGCTGAGGTTTTTTATATATAATACATTAATACGGCAACTTAGATTCTAAAGTCCCTTTAAAATTTTCTATAGAATCGTCAACGCTTACAAGAAGTATCTGCTCACAATAGAGATATCTTACAGTTGGTTGAGAGTTCAAATGTAGTGGTTGTGTTAGATGAGAACGAACCTCAGGATTACGGGGAAATTGCACAGCTCGTCATTGCCGGTGACCTTCATTCGAAGTGGGGAGATCGTAGTAGTATTCTTATAGCATATAAAAATGGAAAATTCGGTTTGGTTGGCGATGTAAGTATTTTTTGCTTGAATGCAAAAAAATCTAAAACTTATGTGAGGTTTATCATCACTTGTTCTTCCATTCCATAGCATTCTTGTTATGATGGTACGATTAGCGTCAGCTACATACTGTTCATACAGTTAAGCCTATTTGAAACTTCTGAACCGGACTGGTCCGTATCGGAAACATTACCCCTGATCGCTTTAAACGAATTAAAGTTTGATTTAAATGACATGATAAGGAAAGAAATTGAACGAGTTCATTGTGACAGCAACAGTAGAGTAAATATATTCTTCATATTTTTTTTTTAAATAATAATTATTATCTCAAATAATATCTCGTTTTCTTACTTTTTAGAGTAAAGATGTTTTAGTTACACATGAGATTTTTGATGATTATGGCAAAGATTATATTAAGCTATATAAACTGCATCCCGATTCATTTGTTCAGGTGATTTTGCAGTTAGCCTATGCGGAATTGCACAACGAGTATGATATTTCACGAAATGAATAATTAACCTCCGCACTAAATGTGTCAATGTCAATGTCGACAAGAAGAGGACCGATTGGCTTGCTATTCAAGAAAACACAAGACATCGACTAACAATTGACACTTTTAATGCGGAGGGTATAAAAGTATAATTTTTCGTATTTTTACGTAGAATTGCTCCGACATATGAAACAGCACTAATGCGTCATTTCTATAATGGCCGCACAGAGACTTTGCGTTCCTGCACAAACGAAGTTTATAACTTTATAAAGATTGCCCTTAATCGACATTCGTCAAAAATGCAAATAGTTCAGGCGTTTCGCGCGGCAGTGCAACATCACAAATTGATGATGGATGAGGCCCGGAGTGGGAAAGGCGTAGATCGTCATTTATTTGGATTATGGTGCGTTGCTTATCAGAACGAAATGGAAATACCAGACCTGTACTCAGATCCATTATATTTGAAATCTGGCGGCGAAGGCAACTTCTTATTATCAACAAGTACGTTGGGTTATACAGCCAATGTTGGTTACGTAGCTCCTATGTTATTAGACGGTTATGGTGCCTTCTATACGATTACATCGCAATGGTAATTCTTTAAAATACTCGGCAGCCATTGTATATTTATATCTCTTCGCAATTTTTACAGCATACACATATTGGTGACAAGCTACACTAAAAGCAAGAAAAGCAGTGGTCTAAAATATGTTCAATGTCTTCTAGATACATTACGGAAAATCAAGTCTTTATTGGATGAAGCACAAAGTGTAAAATTATAAGACAATTCATGCATAAAATCTACAAGGTCACAAAGGATATTAACTTATCTGACAAACACACGCCATGGAAATGCTTTACTATTTGTTATTGTTTGTTAGTGTAAATGTTTTCCGCTTTGTATCCCATTCTCCTACTTAAGTAAGCTTTAAAAGTTATCTTGGTTGTTTTTGGGAGGAAATTTCAATATTGGTTTGTTAATTATACGAATTTTTATATAATCCATAGAATAACATTTTTTTTCATTTTTTTATTTTTTGTTGTATTAGAGTGGACTAAGGCAATAAGCAGTGCAGCTTATAATAAACAGTAGTAATTATTCGCAAGAAATCTATCTGAAACACAAAAAAAAAACTTCGGCCGGTATGTTAAGTGCAATCGTAAATCGTTGAGTTGTTGAAAATGATGTAAAAGCAGTATTCCAAACTTCGGCTGAAAAAGAAATATTGTAGACATAAATTCTGATTGAACGTAGAAAAATATCGTGAATTAAAAAAATAAATTTGTATTTCTAATAAAGTAACTTAGTCCCTCCAAGTAGAATGACAACCATTTTAACAGCTTTCCGTAGACTCGCCGTGAAAACAGATGGTTCTTTGACGCATAATGTACATTTTTGATAGGTATAAGAACGAGCTGGAATATTGTCCTGTTTTCAAGAAATCCTTTAGCCTCTCCTTAACCATGAGATTAATAATCTTTATGAATATAGAAATTAGCACAAGGGATCTAAAGATCGTTGGACGGATAAATGTTTTAATCTCAGAGAATATTCTTTGTAATTCTGAAGAACGCATATCATTTGTAAAAACCATTAGCCCTTTAGATTTTGTTGCGGACGGTCTTGGAGGTTGGCTAGGAGAAGGTTTTCAGAGACCGGATTTTCTTTTTATGATGGCATTGAATTTGCTTTTTGGCTAGGATCTTATTCAAGTCTCCATTACCATCCAATCTATTCTCGAGACAACCGAAGTAATTGGAGGAGAATTTTTTTCTCTATCTAAGTTAAATTCTTTAAAGCCAGTGTCTTAGCAAAACCTAATTACCTCTGTCTGTTCGGACAACTCTTATTCGGGATATTGTGATCGTTCGAACCAAAGGCAATATATTTAACCACCGCGCGCTGATCAGTGGACTAGGACGTCCTACCTATTAAGACATCTGGTCTCTTTAGCCTTACATAACTTTGAAATGTGTCCGAATCTCTCACACATAAAACATTGTTTTAAGGTGAGAAAAAAGTAATCGACCGGAAAAGTTGGCGGATTTAGGGGGGGATTTCCCCTTAGAACCGATTTTCACGCTGGTAGTAGACGTCATTTTCGTTTTTGGACTCACAATGGGTAGCCCCGCTACCATATCGTTTTACAGGAAAATGTAAACAAAAACTTATGGTTTTAGAATCAAAAATTAAGAAATGGATCTAAACAACAAGTTTATAAAAAATAAGGCTAAGAAGATTAATATAAAAAAATGCTTTGAAAGTCATTATTTCATTCACATTTCATTCACACTTGATACAACACATTTCGGCAAACGGCTGGATAATTTTTGTGTTTTACCGGTGTTAGTATAAAAAAAAATGTACGAGAATTTAAATAACTAAAAAAAAATATATAAAAAAGGGGTTTAAGAAAGTAACCATCGTATCGTATGAATCGGGAATCCGCTGTCTGCTTTCAAAGAAGGAATCCCAACAATCTTTTTTCGATGCATGCGATCTTAATTTATATTTTCACCTCAGCAATACTAATACTATATATTTTGCCAAAGGTTCTAAACGTGAAATCGGACTTTTTATCAAAAGGACTAAAGTTGATCAGGTGAAATCTCTTCGATTTCTTGGTAGAATTTTAAATGACAGCCTAACTCTTCGTGGACATTATTAGAAAGCCTTCAAAGGCTGTCAATCCGAATGCAATATCACCAAACTCATGACTAACAATCAATCAGGCTTGCCTCCCAAAAAAGCTTTGACTGTATACAAACCTTTAGTCAGATCCAAAATTAAATTCGCAACTACATGTTGCAATTTCCCAAAATATATTGAGGAACGTATACAAATATTTGAAAATCGAATGTTAATTAAAGCAAGATAATGAATTCTTGCCTTTTTCAAAAAGTTATATCTCTCAGTGATACTGTCCCGTGCAGCTGCAAAGTCAATTATCAAAAATTGCGTAATTTTTTTTTGACAAGATAAATTCAATTCCTCTCTGGAGTTTTTTCACCAACAAATGCAGAGCCTTCACAAACATTCTTGAATTAATCTCTACTTCAAGAAAAGATTCTTCTTTATTACAACAACGGCTATGATATATATGCTATTGACGGTTCCGTCAGACATAATGTATCTAGCTTCTCGGTAGTGAAGCATCTATCTAAAACAGTACATAGAGTCAAAGTGGCGGAGGAACTTTTTTTCGACTTTTATCGAGTTGCTTACTATCCAACATGCTATTAAGGTGGCTATTACTGATGGTATCAAAAGAACTCTTAATTTTTCAATAAATAAAAGAGATGTAGAAAATCAATATGTGTTTGACATATACAGGAGGTTACGTGAATCTCAAGCGGATGAGTGTCACCGTGTTTGGATAACTGGCCACTGCGGTTTTTTTTTAAATGAAAAAGCCGACTTTCATGCAAAAAGGATTCAGGTTGATAGGACAACTTTTTTGATCAAATACATCCCTAATGAAGCAATATGGAAGTTCGCAACCACATCTTTCAACAACTAAATAATGAATTTAAGGAGATTGCGCGTGTTGAATCCAATCGCCTTTTCTCCAAAATAAACCCTACGTTTCAATTTAAGCCCTTTTCAGAGGCTTCCTTTAATTCCTGGGAAATCAAAATTCTTTATATATTTTTAAATGTCATAGGATTGATGATATTAGAGGTATTTTTAGCTTTTTCAAGTTATACGATGGTCTCCTCAATATCTTTGTAACAAAAAATGTACATCATCTCGGGGAACTAACGCGCTTTATTAAAAAAGCGAATTTATCGCTTTCATTTAATTTTTGCATTCCATCAGTTTCTATTACTACAGCATTATTTTTTCGTTTTCAACCAAAGTTTGCAGCACTGTTTGACTTTTAACAACTCAATCTGCATAATTACACACACACAATTACGCTTAAAATACCGGCTCCAGTTATTACGGCCGCTCTTGTTTTTGTCGCGTTGCATATATATTTCTGACCAAAAATTATGACAGTTTATTATCTGGACACATAAGCCACAAATCTATTGGCTTAGTCCATCTCTACTCAACAAATCAAAAAAAAAAAAAAGAAAAAGAGAGAGTCATTATTTTTAAGCAAAAACTAGGCAATGACGAAAGTGTTTAAAAATAACCTGTCTCTGACCTTGCTTACCGTTTGAAGTTTTTTTAAGCCAAAAAATCTTAAAACTTTTAAGGTATTCATAAAAGAAAATATTTATATATTGAATCTTAACAAAATCTCTTCAATAATATGCCTTAAATTCTGTTGTAATAAAAAATTCTGGCAACATTGTGTCATCTGACGATGACAGTCAGATTGTTTGTTGTTGGCGTAAATTTTGACATTAACATTCAATGTTTTAAAGAGCCTGCTGCCAACGTATTAAAAAAATGGTTTTGCTAGATAATTCATCGGTATTTATATTAGTAATTTTATTTAAGATTTAGAAAAGCATTAACGAGTGGTTTTTAGTTTATATTACGTCTAGAGAAGTTAGCGTCCGCCGCAAAAAGTGAGTCCTCAAGTGTGACTGTCACATTGAAGAGATGTAAGTGCACTGAAGACCGCAATTCACTTGTAATAACTGTTTCTGAAAGCGCTAGAATCAAAGCATGTAGCAAACATAATTTGCTAACCACAGTAACAAAAATTTTATTTTCAATATT